CCTCAAATAGACCCTAAACCCTAAACGCAAAACCCTAAACCCTAAAACCTCAAATAGACCGGGTTTAGGTTCTAGGGTTGGGGGATGAGGTTTTTGGTTACATGCCGTTAGAAATTAGGCGCACAAAGTGAGAGAAGTTTTCCAATGAAGCAGGGTTCTCTGTTGGAATTAAGCCTATTCTTCACACAATTCCTGCAGCCCCTGATGATGGAGCCCACATGAATCACTGAACCCCAAACATGTGTTTGCCCCGAAGCCGTTAAAACTGATATGGACCTTGAACGAGTCCCAAACCCTTAAACACTGAACCAGTAGACCTTCTTATCTACGCTGCAGCAAAAATGTTGAAACCTAAGCCCGTGGTGCCGCTGAAGGTACTCTCGAGGGTGGCGGTCAAAGGGGACAAAGGCAAGTGTTTAGGGTTTGGGGTTGGAAGAGGTTTAGAGGTTGAGGATTTAGGGTTGAGGCTCCAACATGTAGAGATTTCTCGGGTGTGACAGGGCTTCAATCGTTATCAAAGCCAGAGTTTCCACGACTCAACATTGGGGTGCGTTAGTATTATCGTTGTTTCTGGTATTACCAGAATCACTCCAAGTAGCAAAACACTCAAGTTAAAACCCAATTATAGCCTATTTCCTCCTGTAGTTATTATTCTGGATGGCACTGGTGCTTCGTAATATGCCTACCTAGGTATGACGAGTATCAATATGATCATTATTGCCGTTAGTGTTAGTGCTCTTGAGAGCTTGTTCGGTTGTTTGGGCTTCATGAACATATGCTCCCTGCTCCAGTCGATGCTCTTCACGCCCTGAATGTTTAAGCCAAAAAACTTGATTCCTTCACCCTAATCTCGAAATTCCCAAGTTTGCGAAGCTTTCTGATGAGGTGGACTTCCAGCCCTGCTAAGATTCAGGTGCTTTGATGGCTACTCTGATTATAAGGGCTACGTATGCAATCGTCTTTAATTATCATGCTACTATATGGTAGTTTCCCAAAATTAGGGTTCCCTTTTTTGCCCCGATACATTGCAATCCTTATTATGGGGACCCCAAAAGGGTCCCCCTAATTTTGGGAAACGTTAAACCTTATGCCTCACCATTACTAGTAACTAGGACGTGAGAAGGGGTCTGATGGACAACCATGTGAGCAATAGGCCCAAGTCTTAGGGCACTGGCCATAGGAGTTAGGTTTAGGGTTTAGGGTTTTAAGGCCTAAGCCCTAAATTTTGAAGGGTTTAGGATTTCAGGTTTAAGGTTTGAGGCTGGTGGTTTGCGCAGCTCGGAAGCAACAAAAAGCTCGCAACCTTTTCCAGTCTTCCGTCCTAGGTGCAAGTGTCCGGCATTTCAGGAACAGAGGCTTTGGGTAGACTCATCTAAACCCTAAACCCTTTAAACCCTAAAACCTAAACCCTAAACCCTAAACACTAAAACCCTAAACCCTAAACCCTAAACTCTAAAACCTCAACCCTAAGCCCTAAACCCTAAAAAGCGTGGAGTGTCCAACCTTGGACTAGTAAACTACTTCACAAGATCACGACCCTAAACCCCAAGGGTTTAGGGTTTAGGGTTTAGGGATTTAGGGTTTAGGGTTTAGGGTTTAGGGTTTAGGGCGTAGGGCTTAGGCATGATATTTTTCTGAGCAAGCCTATCATATCTCCGATGGTATCAGGTCGTCTTTTTTTCGCCTCAGAGCCCTCAACTCCTAAACCTTCAACCTCGAACCCCAACACCCTAAACCCTAAACCCTAAACCCTAAACCCTAACCTCCCCAAGCCCACCCAAGCCTCCCCTGAAGCCCTCAACCCAAAAACCCTAAGCCTAAGCCTGAAGCCTTCACCCTAGGGTTTAGGCGTAGGGTTTAGGGTTACAGTCCCCCTGAAGTAGATGGAATCTGGCTGTGGGTAGATTAGAATAAGATCCCCGTATACCCCATATTCTATCTACTCAAGGGGGACTATAACCCCTGGCCCTGACGGATTCTGCTTCTGCCAGGAGCACGCTGACAGGGACAAAGGCATCCGGGCGGGATCAGGCCGGGTTTAGGGTTTAGGGTTTCATTTCTCATGTTAAAATTCAACACCTGTAAAAGGTATGTAGGGACCATAGGAGGGTTATATAGGGGATGTACAGGGAGTGCATAGGGATTAATATACGGGTTGTGTAAGGGATATACGTGGAGTATATGGCGATGATACGAGCATTCTTCAGGAGATATATAGGAATTTTTCCGGGAGACATGATACTCAGGTTCAGTAATTGCGCTGAAATGAGGGTTTCTCAACACGGTTTAGGGTTAGAGAAGCTCCCAAAGAAGTCTGACGGCGCAGGTGTCGCGGCGCATGATGCGTGCTGTCATGCAGGCGCGGGGTTTGGGCAGAAGGGCTCAGGGTCAGATTTCCTGCAAGCATCGGAACCAGAAAAAGACCTTCCTGGTGATTTTGTTTATCATGATTGAGCTTTTGAAATTCTAGTAGGATACATGAGACTCTTCTGCAGAGACTTAAAATCGCGCGAGCCGTTCGCATCCACAAGCGTCACTACATGCCCTTCACAAGCCCTTAGCTGGCTACCCCAAACCCTAAGCCCTGTACCCCGCAAAGGCCATGTTTCCTGAGAAGTCCGTGGAGCGCATGAATGCACTGATGCGTGTGCGAAGCCCCGGATGGGTCTTGCCATGTCCTGGGCCAGGGCTTAGGGTTAGGGGATTCCCTAGAGCCATAACCGGATCCATGTTAGGTATCCTTTAGAAGGGGATATAGGGTTTATGTAGAGAAATTTTAGGGATATATAGGGTTCAGGATTTCGGGATCCTTTATACTTTTTAGG